AGCACATTCCCTTTGCTGGTACTCTCYGTGTTGAGGAATGGATAATTTCTGSTAAAGTTCCTTGCTTTTTAATGTATTTATTTCTCAGGGAGGAGATTATAGCGTTGGTTCTTCTTGTGCATCATTTCAGTTTTGATACATTTGAAGTTATTTTGCCACCAGTGTCATTGGTAAGAATTGTTTAACTTAGAGGCACTATTTTAAACCAGTCCCCACTCACTGTTTAGCTTGTTACCATATTTCTTGTCTGTGCAATGAAGCAGATTAAAATCTTTCAGAGACGACTTGTTCTATATCCAGAAATCGTTTCTTACCGCAGAAAGCTTTAYTCAAATTTTAAAAAGGAACTATTCAGAAGCTGAAATTATTTTTTCTATATTTAAGAAAATAACAGCACTTCTGATCTCATGGGCATTGTAAATTCAAAGATTTCTGAAAAGCAAATTTTGCATGGCTGTAATAAAAGGTGGCAGCAAAAAAAAAGCAAATATTGCAAGGAAGGATATTCTAGTGTCTTCTATAAGGTTTTCATATACCTTTAAAAATATTCCATTTGGACACTGAGCTATAAGATCCATATTCTTGGGGAGTGTAATTGTTTCCAGAAGTGACTTGTCTGTAGTGTTAAGGTCTGTTTCAGTTATGGTGGAGGTGAGTGGTGTGTGCTTGTTTACTTAGGTAAAATAAAAACCTTCTGCTTCCTTTTAGAAAGGAGATCTAGGGGTCTTTTAAAGGTGAGCAAGGATCAAAGCCCTTGCAGATGCACCAGAAATAATTGCAACTGGTCCTGGGAGTACAGGGACAATTCAGTCCACCTGCCTCAATCCACCTCTGTAGGATGAGGTGTGAGAGTGCTTCTGAGAGCAGATGTCTTGAGCAAATGGCTGGGGCCTGCTGCTTGCCCAGGAATTCTGCTGGAGGACATGCACAAGGAGTAGATTATTATGGTGTCGTGGTTTGAATGAATTCAATGGGAGCAAAACATAAGCAGATGATAGGAATACAATACTCAGCTAACCTAGGACATTTGGCAAGAGGGASTTCAGTTTCTAGATCCTACCAATGGGGTTCAAGTTCCTCAGAACACAGTAGGGTTTTGTATTAGGTCCACAGTAAATAGATAAATGAGAACAGAAGTGTCAGAAACCTTAGGCTGACCTCTGAGCTGAGTGTCATAACCCTCAGGGGCTCAGCTCCCAGGGGAGACATGAAGAATGCTGTTCCTCTTTATACCTCCATGGATGGATGGATGGATGGATGGATGGATGGATGGATGGATGGA